GAGGGAATGAACGCAACATCTATCGATCGAGAATAATATTCTCAATAAATGACAGTGGTTTCATTGCCTTAGTCTCTATTAGGAGAGGAGGAATGAATTTTCAAAACGCGCAGTAACTCCGAACAAGTTCTTCTCATTCAAAAATAAATTCCTCCCTTCCCTAATTGAGATGAAGGAATGAAACCAAAGTCGACAGATTGAGAATTGCATTTTTAATAAATGACATCGGTTTCATTTCGTAATCTCAGGAGCGGAGGAATGAATGTTCAAAAGCGCGGAGAAACCCCGAATGGCTCTCCGACGTCGAGTGAGCTCGGAGGAACTCCCCCGATTGGAAAATTCATTTCTTCCACCCTAATTGAGATGAAGGATGGAAGCCGATGCCGATCGATCGAGAATTAAATTCTCAATAAATGACATCGGCTCCATCTCTTAATCTCAGTTAGGAACGGAGGAATGAATTTTCAAAAACGCGGAGAAACCCCGAACGGCTTTCCGACGTCGAGTGAGCCCGGAGGGCCTCTCCCGATTGGAAAATACATTTCTCCCACCCTAATTAAGATGAAGGAATGAAATCGATGCCGATCGATAGAGAATTACATTCTCAATAAATGACAGCGGTTTCATTACTTAATCTCAAGTAGGAGCGGCGGACTGAATTTTCAAAAGCGCGGAGAAACCCCGAACGGCTCTCCGGCGGCAAGTAAGTCCGGAGTAGTCCAATGAACGAAGGTCTAACATACGAATGTGTGCTAATCAGGCTCCATTTTTGATACAATAGATGATTACGGCGTATGAAACTAATGGCAGATGTTTAAGGTTCCCCAAGTTTGTACGGGGGTTGAAAAAGGCAAAAAACTACCCCTGAAAACCGTTTTTTTAAAAAATAACTCGTGAAAAAAGCGATGTACGTCCAAAAATGTAATATACAAAGTTGTAGAGCTCAAAATTATACACAAAAAATGTTTTGGACACTTTACCCCTATTCATAACCGTTCATCCCCCAGAGCCGCGTGAAGATCAGGTGGGAAAAAAAAATGTTTTCCATTTAAAAAATTGAAGTTAATGAATTTTTTTTGTTTTGTAACTCGGAATATCAGTGTTTTCNATATCTTGACATTGAATCGATGAATTTATTTTTTTTTCTTCCATATTTTTTATTAGAACATTTACCACAAATTTTGTCTTGATCGTATCCGCAAATCTCCCATGGATTCAAAGTTAAACGCAATTTTCTAGCTCCAACCCCTAAATCCGG